TTTAACATTCGCTCCCTCCGGAATCCGGATTTCTATTACTGCTTATATTAATGACAACCAGCGAAAATAACTACGATACCGTAAGCATAAAATATTGAAAATAACGCTTCAGGTTTTTGTGAAATAGACACACACATTTAAATGAGGAAAATCTACGGTAAAATAACGTACATTTTTGTCAAGTAATGCTTTAGCTATATTAGAAATATATATCAAACGGCAATCTTTACACTGTCAATGTGTCGTTTAGCTTTAATGCCTAATCCCATGCACATTACTTGTGTTTTTGACTGTTTGTGAACAGCTTGGTGCAACTGTCTTTCTCGAATAGAAGGTAAATTTTAGTTAAAATGTCTAAAAAGGAGTTAGAAAAGTTAGCTTACCCATACGACTTAAGTCGACTGGAAATATAAGTAGGTAGGTATTTTTTTTGAGTTTTTTTGGTATGATTGATTCTGGGTGTCTAATAAGGTATTATAATATTCTGATAAATCTACTGAGAACGTATGAAGAAATATCTTGAAATATCTTGAAGAAAATGTATTGTGGTTGTCTTTCCGCTGACTTTGAAAACCAAAATCCGCCATGTTTTTGACCACGCGGCCGCACGCTAATAATTTATTGTAATTTGGTTGTCATTTCCCCTCCAGGTCTTATAGAAATCAATGGTCGAACCAGTCGAGCCATCCCGCTTATCAGTCAGCCAGTTAATATAATTCTAGATATGTTTTTATATACTGATCTGTTTGCTAATGTAGTATTTGTATAAGTTTTCATACATAAAACAGAATTTTGACGATGTAATCCAGACGATTACAGAACGAAAATTTAATGATAAAAAAAAATTGTAATCATAAATTTGATAAATAATTTTTTAACAATAAACGTGGCGTGACTGATTTGACATACCCTAGATCTGCCCCTGCTTTCAACTTACGCAGACACGAAAAAGTATACTGTCCACTAAGGGATGAGGAAAAAATGTCTGAATCAGATTCAGACAGTCAGGGAATGCATTTCGAAGATAATGTTTCTACAAGTTCAACAGATGGATCTGAAAGTTCAATGTCAATAGAAAATGAGGCTGAAACTGGAGAGGAAACTGATCCTTGGATGCCTTTGACAGAAGAAGCAAGGGAAAGAAGTAATGTAGATTTTGATGAGATGAAAGAAAGCCTTGTGAACAGTGGTCTGGATGAGCAGACAGCTGAAAATCAAGCATATTCTAACATTCTACCAAAACTTCAAAAAGAATTGGAAAGTATTTATATATGCAACGTCTTATGTGGATAAACCAACTGAAAAAAGATCCCATCCACAGAAAAATAATGCATACGAACAGAGCGTTTATAGAAAATGACGAATTTGATCCACAGGAAGCTATGGAAGCAGCTATCGATAAGAGAAAGTTTCTCATCTACATACTTTCAAAAGAGTAAAGCTTTAGTGAGATTGCCAATGATGAAGAAGATTAACTTTGATAGATGAATTCATTTCATAATAACTTGTATCTTATTTTAAAGTGACGTTGTTCAATAAAATCTTTTGATTTTCAGTTTAGTGTGAAAATTACTTTAATATTCCATAGCTGTAAAAATCCTCTGCTATTGTTTCTATCTCTATCTGTTTAATGGAAACATGCTAAGAAAGCCTCCTAGAGCTATACATACTGCGCGAAGCTCGATGTTTTTGAAATATTTTGCGCTTTCATAAGATGAGAAGGGAAATTCCTTAAAGTGATGATGCATGAAATAGCTCGAATAATATTACGCTTACGGCACACTTCTACCTATATACGCGACTTTCAGCAGTAAACCGGTTATTGTAAGCCTGAAAAAACTAAAATTGTTGTGCCACATCGCATCTTGAATGCATAAGTTCATAAATTTAAACCACTATAGGCAGATAGGCTTGTGGTTATCAATATTAAAGGCGCGTTGCACTTTTGTCAGTTGATTGCCCTAACTTCTTCGTTTAAATTCTCCTAATACAATCTCTAGCAACCAGTAAAACAAACGCATACTAAAATAAAAATAATGTTTGTAAATCTAAGAAGGACAGAGTTAAAACAATAATTATAATCTCAATAATAAACAAGTCGCCCTTTTAACTCGGTTAAAGAAGTATCTTGATCTCGAGTTTTGAGGCGGCGCTTTACATAAATATAATATTGGATACGTTATTTGAATGCTTTTGTTTGACATGTTTGACATACTACATAATTTGATCCAGGCGAGTAGTAAAGATGTATCAATAAATAACTCTTTTTATAACGTCTCATGATCGAGTCGACCGAGTACTTTTAAGCTGGCAGGTCACAAGTGCATTGCTATTTCATTGGAATAATTTCAAATTTGATGGCATGCATTCACTTGCATGTTGCAGTAATAAATATTAAAGAAAGCGGGTGAATATTATGAAGATGCTTTCCTTGTCACAAAATGCCACAAAATATAACATTCGATTTTGCCTTTTCCTTTGGTGGAGCCTTCATTTGACTTTATACCATTCTAATTTTTCTATAAACTCACAAAATCAGCAGAGCACCCCACGATGCAAAAGAGACGTTAATAAATCCAAAATACAAATAATAAATATTGCAATTAGATGCTGCAAAAGCTTGAAGAATCTCTTATTACAAGTAAATACGCATGCTCAGTGCTTACAAGTATTGAATTTCCTCCGTTTTTGCGTATACGTGTGGACAGGCGAAAAAGGACAGTCTCATAGCAACATATTGAAAAGCGACAACCTTATTCTTGACTTGCAACCATTCTCTTGAGATTTGCCAAACAATGTTGCTCAACGCGGCTGGTACCAAAAACAACTCTGATAAAATATTCTTTTATATCATACCACCGAAGCAAATTTGTCGAAAGTTTAAGAGCTTTTAGAAGTATTCTATCGTGACTGAATCAACTATTTAACAAACAATGTGGCACTTGGGATATGAGGACTAGGTGATGCAGTATTTGCTCGAGTTCGTCAACCATTTTCAGCATACTCATATAATCGCTCTCGAAACATTAGCTGCAAATGAACATTCTCGTCACATATCGGGGGAAGTATGTATACTTCGTTTTTTTTTATCATTTACTGGTAATCTATGATGTTTGGCAGCTTTACCACATTTATCGAGTGTGGCAGCTTGGTAATATGCTATATTATATATTGTCTAACAAATGTGTTGTCTAAAAACTGTGTTGTCTAATGATATGTCATACTGTAAATATACTAACTGTATTTGATACAGTGAACTCTATCGCCTTGCAAACTTGTATTGTATTGCCTGAAGATTAGCAGTTATTAAAACAGTATTTTAACCCAACAACTAAAAGTTTTTAATTAAGAATTTTATATCGTTTCTCTTTGTGTAACGTAAGAAATTAAGCAAAACAATAGGGAAAATCCTGGGGGAAACCCCATCTCTCCTAACTGCACATGCGTAGTACTTGTTATTTGTGCGTGCGTGCGTAGGTTGCACTAAAGGATGGCAACTTGAATTTATCGAAGCGCGTAAATCACAGAACTTGAAGAAATATTTCTCTTAATTGTGCACCTGTCTCGCTTAAGGGGCAACGGATTCTGGTTAAATAGGTTATTATCTATCTACTCATATAAAAATTATGTAGCCTCGAGAGGGGTGTAACGGAATTACATCTTTTCGACGCTTATCCTACTGCCTAGTAAGCAAATGATCCAACTTCAGTTTTCGTTATTTTATACATGGTTGGGTTATCCAGTGTAAATATTGTACGTCTAGGTACTTACTATGTAATAGTATTAACATATCGTTGTGTCTCCACAAAACGGATGCTAGACGTCACATGCACGATAATTAGCACAATAAAACAGATTAGTTGCTGACTGCTGAGTCAGTACATAATTGTATTGGCAAAGCAACCGAGGCGAAGATAAGTTGAGAGAAAAATGGCAGAAGAAATTGTTCTTATCACTGGAACATCCGCTGGTCTTGGTCTTTCGACAGTTTATGTGCTTGCAAAGCAAACAGACAAGAAATTTAAAGTGTACGCATCAATGAGAAAGTCAAGCAAGAGAGATGAATTGTTAGAGAAAACTGCTGGTTGTCGCAATGTTGTTGTAATCGAAATGGATGTTTGTTCAGAAGATTCTGTGAACGCTGCTGTAAAAGAAATTCTGGAGAAGGAGGGAAGAATCGATGTTGTTGGTACGATTTCAATTAATGTCATTTTGAATTTTAGCTACTTGTCGGACAATTTGTACCATTTTGATGTTAGATTTAAGTTTACAAAGGAAATTTGTTTTTATTGCATTCATATGACAATAACGTTTTCACATGAGCCAAAAAGGAAGTGTGAGATACGGCATATTTTTAGTGCGGCACAGTTCTGTTGAACAAAATTAAAATGACGAAGCGTGCCAAACCCAAACAACAGCATTTCTTTTACGTAAATGCAAATTTTTCAAATTTAAATCCACCAAAGCGTACAGTCATTTATACAAATGACTTCGCTAGTATTTTTTCAAAAGTTTGTACTATTTTTTACGTTCCTCGCTATACCACCGTATTGAACTTTTGCAGTCTTATGTCTATTGAAATACAAGAATGAAACGTCTGACTGATCTTAGACAATGTGAATAGTCGACTTAGCTTTCGGATGTATCTGCCTGCCCGAGAATGTAAACAAGCTAAGTCATTAGTAAGGTAAAGTAAGTGGTTTGAAGCCGGGAGTATCGTTACATGTTTGTAAATGTAGATCGTCCAGGTTGGCATAGTCCTGAGAAGGACTGTTTTTGTTGTTGTTGACTGACGTTTCGACAACCTTAGCGGTAGACATCTTCAGAGTCAAATGAGGAGTAAACGTCAGGTTAGCCGTATTTGTTATCTGGTTCTTAAGTCATTGTATTGTGTGTACAGGAAATGTGTATTGTCATTGTGAAAAAGTGTGAAGTGAAATATTTTTACTTTTAGTTGTGATGTTTGATTTAAGCCCGCCGCACACTGGTGAACTTGCCGCGCGTACTTGTTATTCGTGACAAGTGTGATCGACAAAAGTTCCTAGTGTACGCGGAAGTTTTGAACAACATTTGTCATTCGTGACAGATGAGTCAAATATCAAACGCGTTTGATATTTTTTGTCACGAGTGACAAAAAATCCTAGTGTGCGGAGAGCAAGCAGCAAGTGCGCTGTAAATGACAAGAATGCGCACGCGCGAGATTGAGAAAACAAAATGGCAGATTTGTTGAACGCGTTGAACTCATTGTTGGACGACGACAATTTCTCAGAGGACGAAGAAGCGCTGCTACTACTTTTATTGCTACGAAGACGTCGTAGAAGGTTAAGGGCAGCAAATCGTAAAATATGGACGAAACAGTGGCTCTTAAGAAGAAAAACACAAGGTGTCTGTGATAATTTATTGAGAGAGCTCGCAGTAGAAGATCCTGAACAGTTCCGGCAGTATCATAGATTGGACAGGCAATCATTTGAAGATATTTTGAAGATTGTTTTTCCATACATTGTGAAACAAGACACGCAAATGAGGACAGCGTTAAAACCTCGCGAACGACTGGCAGTAACCCTGCGATTTCTTGCAACAGGTACGTAGAATTACGTATAGTGATTGAACACTTGGTCAGAGAAAGCAGTTCTCTTACTGTTTTTATTATTTTCCCATTTTAGGTGAAACATTTCGTAGTCTGTCATTCCAGTTTAAAATTGGCGAGCATACAATTTCGAATATTGTTGAGGAAACATGCCATGCTTTGTATATCTCGTTAAATGAAACTTGATTGGAGGCAAGTTATTAAACATTTATAACAAATATCGCTAGTATTATTAACAATAGCTGTTTACATACATTAAGAGCTCATGTTATCATAGGCAGATGAGTCTTGACCTGAATTAAGCTCTGTAGAGATTGGTGAAGACCACATATTAACAACAGGACGGCTCAATCCACCATCTATTGGGGAAGATGTGTTATATCGTTGACTATTTGTCATACAATTGCTGATGGGGTGCATGTTGTTTTGTGCATAAGGTGGTTGAAACATATGTTGGTGCATAGCTACTGGCGCTCTTGTGCTATGATGTGTAAGTTCCCCTGATTGAGCCTGGAACAGTATTTCATTAATTTTGTATTGTGCCAAGTGCCTTACAGTGGGGGGAAGTTCAGACAACGACTGCGTGATATAATGACCAAATGATTCATCCGGGTTATTACATTCCTTTCGAGACATTTCTCTGCTTCTTTTTCTTGAGATGTTTTTTGCCAAAGAAATCATGAGATTGTATTCTTCATCTGCCTGCCTTTTTCTATTTGGCTTTATACGTGTTGGCTGTTTGGTACTAGAAATGGGACAGTCAACCTCATTCTCAAGACTGTTGCTTGGTGTTGCTGTATCATTAAAAGTGTCGTCATCATCATCATTGTTTTGATCATCAACTTCATCAGCAATTGTTATGCATGATGGTGAATTGGAATCGTCCTAGAAGCATTTAATAAATGAACATCCATTAGTTTAACATAAGCAAATTTATGATGTAATTGCTTTTATTTTCTTCAACTACAGACTCCATCTAGTGCAGAAGAATGGAAGGCTGTTGCAGACCAATTTGAAAAAAAATGGAACTATACTGGCTGCATTGGAGCTCTAGATGGGAAACACATAGCCATACAACAACCAAATAGTAGTGGATCAGAATTTTTCAACTACAAGCATTTTTTCAGTGTTTTGCTTTTAGCTCTAGTAGATGCAAACTACAAGTTTGTCTATGTCAATGTTGGAGCAGCAGGCCGTGCATGAGATGCTGGCGTGTATAATGAGTCTAGCTTGCGAAAAGCTGTTGTTGAAAATACTCTTGGTCTACCATTACCAATTGAAATTCCAGGATTTTCATCAAAAATACATTACCACATTGTGGGTGATGATGCTTTCCCATTGAGCAAAACAATGATGAAGCCATTCCCTCACAGGAATTTAAATAAAGAGAAAAGAGTCTTTAACTATAGATTGTCTCGTGCCAGACGGGTAGTAGAAAATGCTTTTGGGATTCTTGCCAGCAGATGGCGTGTGTTCCTAACTACAATAAGATTGTGTCCTGACAAGGTTACCTATCTAATTCTAGCTGCTTGTTGCTTGCATAACTATATGATAGAAAAGAATAAATTAGGTTATACAGCACCAGCAGATGTAGAGGATGACAATCATCTTGTCACACCCGTTGATTTTTAATAGCCGTTGTCTATAGTCAGTACTGTAAGTAATGCATTTTGCCGAGTTCCAGTCAATGTTGCGTTTTGTGATTCGGTGATGTTCGGCAATGTGATTAGTTTTGTCTTGTTTCTTAGTAGCTCGTTTGTGTTCAGTAAGTCTTATGTTTAAGTTCCTGCCAGTTTCCCCGATATAGGAGGCGTGGCAGTCGGAGCAGTTTATTTTGTAAACTGCACCTTGTCGTTCGTTGGGTTGTTCTTTGTCCTTTATATTCGTTAGTACTTGTCGTAACGTTGTGATTGGTTTATGTGCGACACGTATGTTGTATGGTCGTAAGATACGCGAGATAGTCTCAGACGACCTTTGATGTAAGGTATCGTTGCTGTTGTCACTGAGTTGTTCGTCTCGTTGGGTTCGTTGGGTTTGTAAGTGTTGCGTTTGATAAAGTCAGAGTTATAGTTGTTTTTGTCAAAAACACGTTTGAGATAGTTGTTTTCGTTGTGTAGAGCGTCCGGTGAATCACATATGATTTGTGCACGTCTTGTTAATGTTCTGATTGTGGTGGCTTTGTGTGATGTAGGGTTGTAAGATGATTGGTCTAGTAGTCGGTCAGTATGTGTTGGCTTGCGATAAACTGTTGTTCGTAGTTTTTGATTGTCATGTTTTACCAAACAGTCGAGAAAAGGAAGAGTTCCGTTTTCTTCGACATCTTTGGTAAATTGTATGTGGCTGTTCTGTTTGTTGATGTGAGTGTGAAAGTCATCAATCTCGTCTGCATGTAGTGCTGTGATTGTGTCATCTACGTAGCGAAACCAAAAAGGTAGTGCATGTTTGTAAGTCGTGAGCGCCCGTTCCTCTATAGATTGCATTACAATTTCAGCAACTACAACAGAAACGAGTGAGCCCATTGCTGCTCCATGTAATTGTTTGTAGTGTGTACCTTTGTACTGGAAGTAAGTCGAGATGAGGCAGAGCTCCAGTAACTCCATAATGTCTTTTGTCGGTAATGGCAGTACGTCAGTGGTGTTTGTAATGAGTGTTTTTGTACAAGTAAGTTCCAGATTAAGTGGAATACTGGTGAACAGTGATTTCACATCAAAAGACACTAGAATATAGTTGTCGGGCATTTGTATAGTGCTCACTTTTTTAATGAAAGTTTCAATGGATTGTAGCTTGTGTTTTGATTTGTGTGTAAGTGGTTGCAGTATGTCAGCCAAGTACTTTGAAAGTTCGTAAGTAGGCGAACCACAGAATGATACAATTGGTCGCAATTTGTGGTTTGTGAAGTTTTGGTAGTCTGTATACCTGGGTGGTCGTTGTACTGAACATCTGAGTAGATATTAAATACGTTCAGATATAATGTTAGATTTTCTCATAGAGAAGATCTTGTTGTTAAGTTTGCGTACTAGTGATGGTGTTGGGTCTCGTTTGAGTTGTTCGTATGTTTGTCTGTCGTTAACAAGGGTGTCCATTCTGTTGAAGTAATCATTCCTGTCCATGACCACAGCCACGCGTCCTTTGTCTGCTTGTATTTGTTATTGACTCACATAAGTGTGAGTCAATAAAATGACTTTTTTTTGACTCTGAAGATGACTACCGCTAGGTTGTCGAAACGTCAGTCAACAACAACAACAACAGTTCTTCTCAGGACTATAGCAACCTGCACGATCTATATTTACAAACATGTAACGATACTCCCGGGTTCAAATCATTTACTTTATAACGATCATTTGGACGACAGAGCGAACAACTTGCTAACGACTACATACGTTTTGCAAGCAACGTCAGACGCATACGCCAAAAACTCTGGTTCAACCACCGCTGCAAGGATTTTGGTCTCGTTCCGGCAGAACTTAGAATTAAGTCCCCGTTGAACACACAAGAGGCTATTCAGACTGTCAAATCCACCAGCAGACGACTGATACGAGCACGGATTAACGACTGTCACAGACGAATCAATTATTACATCAAACAACAAGAACAAAGACTGAAAAAACTGAAGGAACTCATACCAACGACAGTTAGTGATACTTTACTTTCTATGCAGGGGCGGATCCAGCTTCTGGGCTGACCGTGGCCCTGTGACGTAGCAAACGCCTTCGGCGCGAGGCAACGCTAGGGGGGTCTGGGGGCAACGCTAGGGGGGTCTATAATCTCATCTAAAAAAATTCTAATATCGCCATTTTCTTAATTCTGTTCGGATAGAAAAATAAAAATTTTACTTACCTTGTGGTGTCTGATGTAAAATCAACGCAGTTTCCGTACCTTTCTGTAATCACAGAATTGTTGCCGCAGGAGTGAGAGAAAGATGAAGCATGTTATTTTTGCAGTGAATAACCAAAAGACAGTTCACTACAAAAATATAATTCCCCATCATTGTTGCCCCATCAAATGGTCTTTTTCGAAAAGCAGCAAGGATGCTTTTGCTAACAGCCATAAAGATGGCAAGACTAATAAAAGCAATGTTCAAAGGTGGTCTTCTTCCAACAACACCAAAGATGTTTATCCAACAACCGTAAAGATTGCAAGATTAATAAAAGCAATGTTCAAAGGCGATCTTCTTCCAACAGCAGCAAAGATGTTTATCCAACAATCGTAAAGATGGCAAGATTAATAAAAGCAATGTTCAAAGGTGATCTTCTTCCAACAGCAGCAAAGATGTTTATCCAATAATCGTAAAGATTGCAAGATTAATAAAAGCAATGTTCAAAGGTGATCTTCTTCCAACAGCAGCAAAGATGTTTATCCAACAATCGTAAAGATTGCAAGATTAATAAAAGCAATGTTCAAAGGTGATCTTCTTCCAACAGCAGCAAAGATGTTTATCCAACAATCGTTATGCTGGGACTCGATGACAGGATGGGTAGAATAGTATTTTGCATTTTCAAACATTTCAACACTAGTTAGGAATCTCAAGTAAATAGAGAGAGTCTCATTCCCAACTAATGCAATAGAACATGCATTGAACAGACAATTCCCATTGGCTAAAGTACTAAAAGAAAAATCAGTATTTAAGTATCAATGGCTGCTTTGTTATACCAAGCTATACCTGGAAACAAATCTGCTAGACTGACTCTGACATTAGAATAAATAAGGGTAACCAATACAGTTAAAGATAGACTAATAATATTGAAATTGAGAAAGTTATTTTCTCTTTGTGTTAATTTGGTAACATCATGATAAAGTCAAAGTCACAGGCAGGTAGTCTAAGATTTGGAACTAGTCTAGGCATGTCGAACAGGATTCAGACGACTTATTGATTCCATCTACTATAGCATCAATATTCTATATAACCCGTGAAAGAAAGTAACAGTTATTCAAAATGATATGTTAGTTTCTTTAACCAGGGGATAACATAAAATGCCAGGAATACAAGGATAATACATTATTGACTGGGTTAAATTTTAAAAAGGACTAGCTTTGACTAATATTGAAGTAAAACATTTTTTTTAACAGACAGTAACAATTAAAATTATTTAGGCCGTACATTAGACAGACTGACTATGCAAAATAATGACAGCTTTAGACATATGTTTTACATGATACACTAAATATGAATAGCTGAAAATTAACGGTTGATCATATATTTCAGGCCAAGATGTCAAACGTAAATAAAAATATAAATTACTACCCCAATACATGTAAATTCTTACCTAACAGGGACATTGGGGCCTGATCTTTCAATTTGGCTTTCAGGGAACTGCATTCTTGAAAATAAACAAGTTCGTAGCATAATATCGCCAGTAGAATTTATACGACGAAGCCTTTCCTCGTTGATTATTTTACCACAGTGTTGTCTCAAGTTAGACAATTCACCAGAAATAATTTCGCAAGCGTTCTCTTTCTGAAAGGTTTGGACGAGCTTTTCAAGAACATTGATCTTTTTAGAAGTTTCCATTGATCCTAATCGCTGAGTAGAACAAGAAGTAGCGTTTTTTCAAGTCGACAAGAACCGAGCTATTGCATATGACTTGTATTTATTGCGCAATCAAAATACATTCACCGTGGCTCACCGTGCGCACATGACCAAAACGTTCCCTGTGATTGGCTTGCAACGCTGCACCGTGGCTGAAGGTTACTATATTTAGCAACTATTGCGAAATTTTCTGAACGCTGACCGTGGCTCTTCATTCTGAGATTGCAGGTTCGAATTTACGAACATATTCCGAGCATATTCATGGCGTATTCGGCAAGATTCGAGACGCTTTCGGTGATTTTACAGTTCAGAGTTTAACTGGATGATAATACTATTTTAACAAGACGTTTAATTTGAAGTTTTTGTTCTGTTAACACAAATTTTTGAAAAAAAAATTACAAAATTCATTCAATTTTTGCTTTTGATCGAATTTTGCTGTATTTGAGCAAAATTTTTAATCATGAAAAAGTCAACCATGGAAAAACTTAAGTGGCAGAATTCTGACCGTGGCGCAAGCCACTTTCGCCATGGCCTAGATCCGCCCCTGCTATGATACAAACTATTGCAGAGAAACGAGCAAACAAGACAGAGACACAACACAAAATGAAACAACAACAAAAACTTGAACGTTTAAAACAAACTAAAACACGTACAAGACATAAACAGACGATAACTGGGTGAGGAATATTTCTTCCCGCTCATTAGACGAAACTAAAACACGACTACTATCTTACGGACTAAAACATTCCATAACACCTAGACGAATCCCGACTGAGACGATAGTATCAAGTGTCGAGGCTGTCCTAGCGTATCAAAGAGACTTGTCAGAGACAACCAAAGACGTGATCAGAAGCAGGATAGCCTCCACTTTACAATCGTCCTCTATACGTGACAACAACTTGACAAAGGATGAACAACAAGCACTCTAACGACTAAAACACGACAACAACATTATCATTTTACCAGCAGACAAAAGGCGCATGATTGTGGTCATGGACAGGAATGATTACTTCAAAAAAATGGACACCCTTGTTAACGACAGACAAACGTACGAAAAACTCAAACG